AGCGCCATGGTACGCTCTGCATTGTCGTCTTCTATTTTCACGGCCATTAATGATTTGCTATTGATTTCGCTGAGGCAATACCCTTCAGGAACTGGAACCAGAGAAATTTGTTTGTTTTTTCCCACTAAATAAATTCATTTCCATACTCGTTGGAAATAAAAGGGCCTTCTGTACGTAGAGGCTTTCCTTCTTTTTTCTCTTCTGCTATGTTTTCTTTTCCTCTACAATCGTTGTCGTAATCAACATATTCGCCGAAAATGTTGGATCCTTCTGTGCGCAGCGGCTTCTCTTCTTTTTCCACTTTTCGATTATTTTGAAGTAACTTGACATGTTCCTTCTGGAGTGGTTTTTCATCAGTCAGTGTGGGTGCGACTCCAGAATTTCCTTCCACATCTCGTTCCTCACAATGAGGACTTGCCGGCGGGGAAAAATTCCCAGAATTACCTTCCAAGCCTGGAATCTGTTTTCGTTCAACAGCATTATGTCCCTTTCTTACACTTGATAGTTGTTTGGACAAGTCATTTTTCTCAGCTTCCAAGACTTGCCGCGCTCTTTCTGATCTAGCCATTTTTTCATTGACTTTCTCTAACTTCATTTTCAGATGTCGCACTTCGACAAATTCGATTGCTTGTCCCTGCAGAGATTGTAAATTGTTTTCATAGGCTTGCATTTGTTCGAACAAACCATCTTCTAATTCTCTGTCGTAATCTTCCTTTGTTTCGACATAGTTAACTTGTCTGTTTTCTTCCACTTGCTCTTCCCAAGTTAGATAGTCACATTTCAGCGAGAGTATCCATCGTAATGGAGGTTTCATCGAATCTTCGATTTCTTCATCGATGTCCAAGTCTGTGTAATTGCGACTCCGGGTTGCTAAAAGCTTCATTGCCGATAACATACACATATCCACATCACAGGGTACTGTCTTCATATGGGTTGGAAGATATTTTTTTTGTGTGTATCCTCAAGTACCGTGGTAACTGGTAATATGTTTTTTCTACCAGTACCTTCCATGCCGCGACGTGTTTCACCTTTTCAAAAGCTGACGTCGACGTTAATAACTGGAAATAGTCTGCCAAAGTGCTGATATCTTCTTCCATTTCTTTGTACATTTTTAAATTTAAAGGTTTTAGATGGGACTATTTGTTCTCTTTTAAAAACTTTTTTATATTGCCTTCTTGGCTTTTTATACCCTACAACACTTTGTGTTGGGGGTATTATAAGTTTGATTGGGTCAAAAATTATATAACACCTCGAAATATTTATTTCCCACATAGGAAAGTATATATGGATCTTCCTATCTCGCCGAGCTGAGTCGATCTAGCTATGTATGTCCGTCCGTCCGTCTGTCCGTCTGTCCGTCTGTCCATGTTAATTTGTAATCACTCTACAGGTCGCAATTATGGCCCGATCTTCACGAAATTTAGAATGGAGTTGGGGTTAAGGTCAGAATAGAACCCTATTTCTTTTGGAGATGATCGCACAATATTTAGGAGTCGAAAAGGACCAAAAACTGAAAAAAATCCTGATTTTGCAGTTGCTCTACAGGTCGCAATTATGGACCAATCGACGCGGAAATTAGCATGGGTCTAAATCTTCGGGCTGGGCAGAAGCCTTCCGATTTTGATGGTCATCGGGTAATATTTAGTGGGTGAAAAAGACTATAATATTTGTGATAAATAAAAGTCAAATTTCCATTATACCGCGAATATTTTTAGTCCCGGCGAAATCATAAATGGACGAACAGGTCAATTCTGACCGTTACGTAGATGCCGATAGTAAATATATCGGATATATATAGCGAAATATATACAATATGTATATACAAAGGAAAGGAATGTTAGATGGAATGCTTATATCTCAAGAATGGCTGGACCGATTTTGACAAATTTTGTCAATTCAGAATGCCCTCTTGACATAAAAGTATAAAATCTAAAAAAATAGCATAAAAATAAGTCAAAAATTATCTTAAAATAGATTTTTTAGTATTTTGTGACATTTTTTATTTTTTCATATTTTTTATCGCATGCGATTTTTTCAATTTGACTTATAATATTAAGGTATACATTTTGTAATATTTTTCCACCTTACAACACAGGTTTGGGATATTATATACGGATTGCAATTATCGTCCGATCCTCACGAAAAGGGTAGGGTTAGGCTCAGAAGGGTTAGGCCTATTGTTTTCAAAGATGTCCGCAATATATTTAGGGGTTGAAATGGACCAACAACTAAAAATGTTCCTGATTTTGCAGCCGTTATAAAGGTCATAAAGAGAGTTTAGGACAGCGTGTAGAATGGACCACTACTTTTGTCTGAAAAATACCAACATTACTTAACTTCTGCCTTTTTTTGCTGATTTCTTTGACGAATATAGCCAAATATCGTAGACAAGAAGATCGTATAGAAGAGTCTAAATTTGGGGATACAGAGGAGCCTCTTGCTTTTGGAGATGATCGCAAAATACGACGGAGTGCGTAAATATTGGGCAAATGCCCCTGGTGAAAATGCTAAGGGTAATGTCTGGGCAGTGCTCCGTCACATAATTTCAAAAGCGAAATCTTCCAAAATAGATTTGGACATAAGGGGGCTTCTAACATATTGTAGTGTTGTAGGGTATCACATGGTCGGCCCCGCACGACTATAGCCTTTGCTTACTTGTTTCTATTTGTTTTTTATTTTTTCCAGTTGGGACTTTGATGTCCTCTTTTCCCAAATTGTATATTTTTTATGTGGGACTGTTGTTGTCCTCTTTTTGTTATGTTTTTTTTAATTTGCCCCGTGGGTCTTTATTTTTAATATATATTTTTAAATTTTGCCTTTATGGCTCTTTATAATTTTATCCCTCAACGGATTTTTATTGGTAGCTATTCTCCTCTTTTTTGAAGAATAGCTACTTCTGCTTGTAGTGAGTCTCTTACCACTGGTGGGGGAAAACTCCTACTATTTTCTTTTTGTGGTCCCTAATTCGTTTCACTTTGACAAAAGTGAAGGCTCGATTGACCAAATGTAAAAGAGCGAGAAAAGAAAACCAACCGAATGGTTTGGCTGTTGATTCAATTCTGATTTTATTTTTAAAATATGTTTCTTACGTACTACTAAAACTAATCTAACTTAACCTAGTCGCAGCCACACAATTGTTCTAATCTATTTTAATATTGAATGGAGAACATTGCAGGGCTGCTTGACATCACATTCAAGTGGTCTTGTGCATCTACTGAGCGCATCGATATATGTGAGTGTGGGTTATAACCTTTATTATATCACGCGTTATCGTATGCGTCAGCGCACAAGATCACCGAATTGTTCACATGTGGTATTTTATGGCGGCTGGGAAATATATAATTTTGGAACATTTAATTTTTATTGCTAAATTTTCCCAGCGCCTCAATCGCACTCAAAAGTATGTACAAAGTATTTTGTACACAAAATATGGTTAAAATGTAAACCATACTATGACCTGCAAAAGCGATTTAATGTATCTTGCATTTTGAGTTCTCATTGGACGGATTATTGTCATATGAAAGAAGTAGGCCCACGTAGGTCACTCGTTATATTTTTAATATTATTCATTCCGAATTCAAAATAAAAAAATATTCACTTCAATATAGTATGTCAAATTGAAAAAAAATCACACCAAAAAGATTTTTTCATTAACATTTTTATTGGCATATTTTACTGCGATTTTTCACCAGGATACCATTCCAAAATTGTATGAATTGTTAAAATCCGCCAAGCCATTCAACTTGTTCGAAGAGTTTTTACAACAAAATTTTAAGGATCTTTACGAAGTTTGTCAATAGAATGTACTATTAATTTAAAATTCGATTCCATTGAATTCTTTTTCGATTTTTTCCCGATTTGAGAATTTTTGCAATAACATCTCTTTTTCGTGATTTTTTAGCGATTTTGAAAAAGTAATTATCTTTTCACTTTGTTGTGACCGCGTTGAATTAGTAGTGCCCATATAAAGGTACCTCCTGATTTTACCATATTTGAAAGGGCTTGGCTAAAAATGTGTATTACACAAAAATTTCAACATATCTACAAATTTTAGAATTTTCTCCATGTAATATTGCCCCCTCAAGTCCACCTTTTGGCGGAGGAGGATTTCTGAGGACTCTAATGCACAATCTGAGGTGCTAATGGGTTTAAAAAAGTAATTAACTTTGGCTATTCTTAAATCATTCAGCCCTCAATTATGAGGTAAATTCCAAATTACGGCTCATTTGACTGGAAAATTTTGCTACGATTTTTACCATACTAAAAATTAATTTGATCCCTTACATGGGGATAAGATTGATATATACTTTTTAATAGAATTGTATAGCACATCCACACATTTGAAGCCCACGGTTTAAATATTGAAGCCCACGGTTTAAATATGGGTCCAGGTATTTTATAACACTTTTAATCGACAAGTACGTGCTTTGACAAATATGCATAATAGACAAAAATTACGGGCCGGCAACGCGGACCGGACCAGCTAGTAAAATATAAAAAGCACTACAAATGTACATTCGAAAAAAGTAAGTCAAAATGAAAAAAAAAAATCATTCTAAATAAAACATTATGATTGTACATTTCAAAAGTCAAAATGAAAATGTTCAAATTTTTATGCGTTTTTTTGTATTTTATCCTTTTCGGCCAAGAGACAATTCCAAATTTGTATGAATTGTTAAAATCAGTCCAGCGGTTCTTAAGTTATACGCGTAGTAACTAACACAACTTTCTTTTATATATATAGATTACATTAGCATTTCCATTTAAACAACATACAACAAAATTTAACATCTTCACTTTATTTCTTCATCGCAATTCGTATTTTGATTAATACAAGTACTTAATATTTGTGGTGTGGTGTGGTGTGGTAAGAACCTAAAGGAAATAAAAAAAATATAACGTAAATCATAATTTTTTTCAATTATTCACAACATTTATTGGTTTAAAATGTATTCGAAGTAAAAACCGAAATTATTTTTTTTGTTCTTTTGATTTCTTAGATGGGTTCAGACTGGCTCGTTCACTAGTCATTCCCATGTAATTACCCTGTCCTGGAATTTGGAAGGTACCCGACTTTTAACCGGCGGATCTACAATTCAATTGTGGAAAGAAAAATCAAATGAATTCGCAGACGAAGAATCTATGGGTAAGTTTTTACATAATATGCTATTTCGAAGAAACTTTTAGTACGTGACAAAACACATCTTATTTAAACGCTTTACGTTATATAATTTGGATTTCTATACCCTTAACTTTGGAATGATGGGTATATTGAATTTTTCATTCTATTTGTAAAAGCTCCAAATATTCGTCGAAGACTCTATAAAATAATAATATTTTTAAATTCTAAATTCATTTTAAAGTGACCGTTTTTCTGTTGAATATTAGATACATATTATTTGACGTAGGGCATAATATTTTGCATTGCTAAATTAGGTATATCGGTCCATGTAAAAATTGTAATGTAGAGTTTGTAATGGTTGTTGTTGTTGTAGCAGCTCATACATCTGTGTTCGTTCGGTTTCCATTTCTCTGACTGCCGACGTTCTTCAGCTGCAATGGATGGGGGTGGACTCCGAGTATTGCATTCATACTGTAATTATTAACTACCTCTGCGACTGCATCAGTATGAATGCTATTCAGACCCGCTTGATAGGCCTCTCACTCTAGATCATGCAGGTCCTTCCTGAAACGCCTGGGTGGGGGAGTTCTATCCACCATATGGTGGTTAGGGTGACTTCCACGATAACACCCAAGCAGGTACTGCAACGAAAGCATATGATTATGCTGACGTAAGGAAAGAACCTTCCTCTCCTCATGTAAATGGTCCACAGGAGTCATGAGGAGGCACCCTGTTGCAGTTCTCAGGGCGGCATTCTGGTAAGTTCCCTGACTCTGGGGTTAGTACGGCGAAGCTCATCTCGCTCGTTTGCTAATCCTGCTGGGAAATTTGGTCTTATTTCAGGTATTCGACCAGCAGGTATATAGCGAGCGGCTGCAGCTTTGATGATGTTCCCTGTTCATGGCGATAATAATGGGGAGGTGATGTGATCCTAGAGAAATGACTGATTGCCAAGTTACGTCATTTGTCAGACATGGGGACACGATGGATATTTCCGGAGGACTGTGGCAGTCTCCCCTTATTCTGGTGGGCGCGTCCTCATTCACTGTGCAAAACGTGGAGCTATCAGCGCCATGCCTCTCTGGTCATTACCTAGGACGGAATGCCGTAATTCATGATGGGCATTGAAATCCCCTAACACCAGGTTATTGCCTGCCAGAAGTGAACTGATATTAGGCATATAACGTGGGGCACAGCTATTTAACGGCGGAATGTACACGTTGAGCACCTCTACCTCGGCGGTTCCACACTTGACCACATTCCATGTACGGGTCACTAGAGTCAAACTCAGGCGAGATAGGTCTGTACTGGACAGAGTGGTGCAATAGGAACGCCTCCACCCCTGGAGCGATCCTTCCACAGTACGTTATATCCATCACAACTTTGAAGCCTGCAGGTGGTACTCAGCTTCGTTTCCTGGATCCTGCGACCTTGATGTTCTTCCGATTCATGAAGCTTACAATTTCGTTAATCTTACGGAGACCATCACAATTAAACTGGAGAAATTACGCATTATCCGAAAATTGAACAGCAATGTGTAGCGCCAACTGCTGCGTAAATTGCTGTTGAGGAGATTGCGGGGGAGTCTCATATTGCGACGACGATGAGGACGCCGAAGATGAAGACTCACTGGGGTCTACATTGACGCAGCAGAAAGCAATGTAGTCCCTATTGTTGTATTCCTGTATCCGGTTTAAGCCGGAACAATTCCGGAAATGCACCCACTGCATGCATCCGTTGCATCTCACCAAGACCGATATGTGGTGGATGCGATTATGACAAACGGAGCAGAACCATGGTCCGGGGTTGGTCTCGATCCCGGCTCGGACCAAGAGAATACGGAGCAAACATTCCGGGTAATGTTGCTCCCACATCAGAAAAATGGACGAACACGAACATGTCTTTGCTGTGTTGGCGGCCCCTGGTCGGACAATTGTACTTCCGAGTCAATCCCGTACATAGAACCAGCCGCCGTGGGATTGGTTTGTAATGGTAGAACCCATTGGCAGAACATTGATTATATAGTTAACGTATTCCTATAATGGTACCTCCCGATATTTCGTATTTTCATGATTCTAGGCGGATTTTTCCACCGAATTATTTTAAATATGTTGTTTAGATTTTGTAATTAATTCATCTGCTGTGGTATAACTTTGTCTATATAAGTCAACATTTTATCACGTATCGCCCGATGTTTGGTATTCTAATTATTTTAGCCACAATTTGAATTTGTTTAATAATCTGTCATTTTAAATTCGCTATTGATTAGAATCCGCCTAACAGACAATTATATATGTCTATATCAAATTTTGGAAATTCGCTCATACCATACCGCCCACGATTTATAATTTGAAGGCTTTAAATTCCTTTTCCAACGGAATTCACTGGAATTGGCATTTTGATATGGATTCGTTCGAATAACTAATGCAGAGACTTTCTATACTAAGTTCACATGGATATTCGTTGTTCGGCCATTAATTATGAAATATCTACCTGATTCCCTACACAAAATTTTCTGAGCGAACAAAGATTTTTGTTATTTGTTACATTAAAATCACTCTCAGAACTGCGATGAAGTGTGCCATCCCTAAGAAATGAGAGCACGTAACGAAAAAATAAATTATGTCATTTCAAAATAGAAAAATTTTATGAAATTTTAAAAATTTTCGGGAAGACTGAAAATTATGAATGAAAAAAGAATCTAAGGCAACCGCCATCAACGCACCTAAGGTTGCTTCTTCCAACTCAGTTTCAAAATCTCTACAAGTTAAAGATCAACCATTATCTATGGCTCTGGCCATGAAAATGGTTTTTGTATCGAGATTCGCACCAGATACATCTACTGAGGACATAAGTTCTTATATAAAGTCGAAAATCGAAGAAGATTACTTCCTGAGATGTTATAAACTACGTTCGTCATTCTCAGAAAGTAGATTTTCTTTCAAAGTTGTATTACATCAAAATCATTTCGATATGGTAATTACGAATGAATTTTGGCTTGCTAGGGCATTTAAAAAAAAAAAATTGTGGAAAAATCATAAAATTTAGCTCATATACCTTACCAGTTCCTGCTTCAAAAAAAAAAAAAAAAAAATGATTTATCAATTTGCAATCAGAATGTAAGGGGATAAAATCTAAATTATCTCGCTTATACACTGATAGTTTTGCTTTTGAATACAATATTTTATCATTTTCCGAAACTTGGTTAAATCCATCTATATTGCATACCGTGTTAATATAAATCGGACCTAGAAATTGTGGGATTCAGTTCAAACACATAAATTTGAACTGACACTTACAGTCCTTAAAATTCCTCCGGAGTTTGGACCGCTGATTTCTACATATGTATTCGTCATTCTTTGGTTTAAGGCATCTTGATATGTCCTCAGGTTGGAAAAGTATGTATTCGTCTCTTTGCGCATCTGTAGCCAAGTATGACTTTTCTGGCTTAATGGCTATTAGAGTGCTTTATGGAGCTATTTGCGATCTTCATTCTTTTCCTCGGTATGGTATATTTCCCATCTTCCTCTTGCCTAGAAGAGCAGATGTCACCCTGCGTTGTCTGGTCTGTGGATAATTCACTATGCTCCTCTGGAAACAATGGAGCCAGCCTCTGAATGGCCCGTTTGTATACTCCAGTTGATGTTTCACATCAGCAACTCGTACAGCTCCGTCGTCACCAGCGAACACATTGAGAATTCTTCCCAATGGCCACTTCATCGGTGGTAAATTATTTTCCTTGGTGATGACCATATCACCTTTCCGAAGATTGTTCATCTTTCTCCTACATTTGTTCCGTTGTTGCAGTTCGTGGAGGTATTCATCCGACCATCTTCTCCAGAACTGCTGCTTGATATGTGAGACCAATGAGATATGCTGGATGTCTTAACAGATTCTGCTCTGCTGTCTACTTGTGTAGTTAAAGCCTCCCCAATTAAAAAGTGTCGTGGTGTGAATGCTTCAAGACAATCAGGATCGTTTGACAAAGGCGTGAGCGGCCGGGAATTTAGGATTGCTTCTATCTCGATTATGATCGTTTCCAATTCCACGCTACGTATCAAGAGGCGTTTCGCGGACTTTACTGCTGCTTCCCATAAACCTCCGAAATGCGGTGCTCTTGGTGGGATGAAATGAAAGTGAATGCCGTTAGCGCTTGAGGTTGAAATAATTGATTCTTGTGCTTTATCCGAATATATATTTTCAGATAGCTCCGCTAAATTATTCTTGGCTCCAACAAAGTTCGTAGCATTGTCGCAATATATGTTTTGGCAGTGTCCACGCCGCGCAATGAAGCGTTTAAGTGCGCCAATAAAAGCTTCTGTGGATAAATCAGACACAAGTTCTAGGTGAAGTGCCTTTGTCGCAAAGCAGCAGAAGACAGCTACATAAGCCTTGGTTGGTCGATTACCCCTCACTTTGTTATGTATCCAAAATGGCCCACAATAGTCAACTCCAGAGTTTATAAATGGCCGTGCGGGAGTCACTCTTGTTGCTGGCAGCTGTCCCATTATTTGTTGATACAGCTGGGGTCGTGCTCTGGTGCACCTTATACATCTTTGAATCGTTGATCTGGCAGTTATTTTCCCTCTGATTGGCCAAAATCCTTGTCTTATTGTGTTTAACAGCGCTTGATGTCCACAATGTTTGTTTTCTTCATGAATCGTCGTAAAAAACAATTTTACTAATGGACCTTTATATGGCAATATTATTGGATGTTTTGCCTCCGGTTGAAGCATAGAATGTTCCAGTCTTCCACCTACGCGAAGGACACCTTCTTCATCCAAGTACGGCGACAGGCTGCAAAGAGAGCTGTGTTTGCTAATTTGCTTCTCAGCTTTCAACTCTTTTATTTCAGTTGCGAATTCTGCCGATTGTATTGCATGAGTAATTAACAGGAGGGAGTCATCTAACTCCTCAGGGTTAAGGGCCTTACTTCTGGGCCGCTGAGACCTTTGCATCCGCGCATTTCTTATGAATCTGAGGACGTATGACACAATCCTTTGTAATCTCCTGAAGAAATTTTT